TTCAGCGGCGGCAACAAAGCTCCAAACACCAGGATTTGATGTTGCTATAAATGTCGTAAGAATTATTAAAACATTTGTTCATTGGAAAGTTCATTTGAAATCCCTATTTGCTCACCTTTGAGCAGAAGTTTACGTTACACAGACGGCGTAAAGCACTGTGGAGGAACCGCAGTTCTACTGGACGGCGACTTTTCAGGGAATCCATCCGGTTTTGTGTGTTTTCACGCGGTGCGTTTTCGGCTGCAAGCTCGCGGCTTTCAAGCTATCAAACTGTAATCTGCCTGGGATTTGGCGTGTGTTAACACAGTCACAAACGCACAGATCACACACTTCAACGGGCGCTACACAAACGTCTCAATATCCGAACTAGGCAATAAACACGCTATTCAATTCGGAGGATTTGCATGAGCAACGTGAGCATTAGCGAACGGGGGGGGGGGGGACGAGGCCTCTGCCTTTTCCCGCCGAGCCGGAGCTCCAGACGCCATCCTTTGTCAGACGGGGGGGGTGGGGGGAGGGGGGCGCGAGACGCAGACCCGCGAGCCGCTCTCGCTTTTTTTTGGCGGATCTGGGCGCTCAATGCCGTAGATTAGCGCCGGCCTGACCACACAGCTGAAATAAGCTAATTGCTTAATTAGTTGACCCAATTCTTTAAGCTTCTTTTAGCGTATTAACAAGAGCTGTGTAACAAACAGTCATGTTTCACAGAGGTGGTGTTTGTTTATGGAATTACAATAATGAGGATCAAATGGAAAACACAGGGAACTCCTTTTGCGGAATCTCTGCTTTAGGAATTTGATTTAATTTGATTTCAGACGCTTTTTGTTTTTCGGCCTTTTGTCTAACGCACACGCCAACGATCCTGCTGCTTTTTTTTGTCATTGACATCCGTTCGCGTCCGCTTTGCGCTTGTGTTTATTTCTCTTTTCTCTGTTAAACAATTAAGCTGCTTTGGGGAACAGTTTGACCGCCCGCTCAATATTTCTGGACATTTGAGCAACAAGGGACAAATGAGAGGAGGGAGCAAAGGAAAATCTTATTAGATCAAATGATGATTGAAATGGTTTCATTTACATTTTCTGCATGCATACTTTACATACATGATCTTTTCTCAGCACTGGGAGTTCTGGGCAAAAGAGCACTGTTTGTATGAGATGAACTCATCTATATGCTAATTCATTGGCATGTAGACCTGCTTCCTTCCTTCCATTCACGACTGTTTACCTATTAGCTCTTATAGATGCAGAGGGAATTGGCATATTAAAACCAAAAAGCTGAGGAATACGGAGCATTAGCAGTACATCACTTGTTATTATATTTATATTAGGGTGGCATTTCTGCCCTTTATTTAAGCTGAAACAACAACTTCCGAGACACTTATTACAAATAAAATAAGCCGACTCTTTCACTTAACTGAGACTTGTTGCCCGCGACAAAGGCTCAGTGGCTTTTCAGCGTTCCTTCAAAGGCCGACACTGCTGAAAACCATACCAGCTCTCCGATGTGACCCTTTGAACGGGAAACAGGCTGTTTAGCATTTCACAAGTTGATTTCCAGGATTCAAGTAGCAATGATGTTCTTTTGTTGATTCATAACATTTCATACCGCGCAACGCCCGACTTTGAATGTGGGCCAGAAGCGTCGGCGTGGCCCTGTGAGACGGCGTTTGACGGATCGGGTTACAAGTGATGCCTAAATGCTAATGTAATTTCATATGAACCGGGCTGAAAGAGATGCAATCAACCCGTTCCTGATTCAGACCACTGTTGGGTTTAAGAGGATGACAACCCCCTTTCTTATTGTCTATGTAATTCACCAAAATTGCCACTTACAGCCGCTAAGAGCGGGACGTTTCATCTCCACAGCTTCCTCTGGTCTTTGCCACTCATCCCATTTCTGCTTCCTCCAAAAGTGCCACCACTTCATTAACCTTGCCAGGCATGAGATAAGAGAGGCAGTGCATCAAAGCGCTCTGCCCACAGAGAGAACAGAGCCCTGCATGGCTCCACTACGCACACACAGACACACACACAGACACACACAGAGTCCACAGACCATCCGACGTGCAGACAAGGCCTTTTGTGTTCCAAACTGTCATTCACAACTGCTGTTTTTTCTTTAAGGGTGAAAACATTTGCTTGTTGGAAAGGTTTTAAGGGGCGTTTGATTTGAAATAACTGGTCCGGGTCGGACTCAGCGGCGTCGTCGCTGCTCGTGACCTTGAAAAAAAGAAAATTCAACGAGAGAAAGCATCAAAACCAACTGCAGCCCGATGAGTAACAACTCCCGACTTCCTCCAAGCATGAAAGTAGAAGGTAGGAAATGTATTAGCTGAGTCACAATATTGTTTTACTAGCACCACATACAAATCTCTCTGGTGCATTTAATCCCTCTGCCCACAGTTTCTCAGAAAGGAGGATATAAATTATTTTTCCTTTGGTGGAAACTCTAAATCCCTGTCTGGATTCTGTTAAAGGGCTTAAAATGTCACTAAATGCCAAGGCTGGGACTTCTGCTAACACGCAGGTCTTAAAGACAAGATGTTAAAGCGTTGAAAGTTACCTGAAATTGATGAGGTTAATATTCTTATCGCAAACCGAGGCTTCTGTGAGAGTGGATATTGAAAATAGCCACGTAACCCTTCATATTACAGGCTATCATGAGGATTAGCGGCATAAACACCAATTACACATTTAATTGTTTATTGTCAGTTGTGTGTAGAAAGCCTCCCACAGGATCGGGACGCAGAGAGGGGGGGGGGGGGGGGGATGTGCCATGATACGGTATCGTATCATAGGTGTTTATTTAGGAAAATGTTCCCGAAACAACGAGTCAAACTGCTGAATGCTCGCCTGTAAATCTACCATGAATATCCTTCTCCGTCCCTTTGCGGCCGCATGAATTTCCAAACCACGTTATACGCTGCTGTCGGTCTGTCACTGAAATTCCAAATGGAGGACAAAGGGGGGCCACTGAGCAAATGGGTTTTATTTTTACCCTGTGAGTCCTCTGGCAACGCGAGGCAGAGGTAAAATACAGTAAGTCAGAGGCGGCACAGAGGAGGGTGGAGTGAGACATTCGGCTATCTATTAAGGCCTGCGTTACGTATACATTGTGTTTTGCAGGAATTTTACTGATCCACAAAACCAGCAGGAACGGATCAGAGTGATTCCCTAAGACCACGTGGTGCGCGACTGCAGTGCAGCGTCTCAGGCAAGTTGAAAGTTGCTGTGCCGTTAAGGAGAAAGTCTGGCAGAATCCTGCATGCCTGCTGATAACATGGTTGGATTAAGGATGTTTAAGGGAAGTGAAAATTATTCATTTGAGATGGATGAAAGCTGCACTTGTCAAGTCTACCAGTCATGCACTTTATACATTTCATTTCCACTAGCCAGCATGCATAATTTCCCCTCAATGCAAATTTCTACACACTGAAAATCGTGAGCGTATTTACTCCGCAGCCTTAACACATTCTTTGACACAGAAAATGGATCATCTCCATCGAACAGGGACCAAAACAATGCAATTTGGTCTGCAGCGGTGTGAGAATCTAATTTTGGAGGGAAGATGAAGTCACACGGCTCTGTAGAATACAAACCATGGCTTACATTTGGAATCGTGCTCCAGTCAGATGGAGAAAATTTCTGGTGGCCCTGCTCATCGCAATGAAATCATTTTGCCACATAACCGATCATCCATAAGGACTTTGTGTTTTGATTGTAATTACTGGTTTCAAGTCTTAAACGGCTTGGCCTCGGTGTGTACACACGTCTACACTGTCTGTTTATCTGCGTCTCTCTATACAAATATTATGATATCTCTGATGAGAATTAAGTCTGCAGCCTGGATGGCCAATAAATTAGAAGCACGCTTCTCGTTTACTCATCAGAGCTAATGAGCCTGATAAAATTACCTCGAGGATCATAATTACAGGCTAGTGGCAGAGACTCTGCCAGGGGCTGGAATAAGACACACACACACAGTTAGAAGTGGCAGCACACAACCTAAAGCATCACAAAGCGCTCACGTCTTATTAATAGAATAAAAAAAGGCTGATATTAATGAGCACAAGCACAGATTATACGTTGTGGATTTTCATTTAGGGAGAATAAAACAATTCAGCTAGTGAGACGTATGGAACCCAGTGTGCTTTTTTTTCATTTTTTTTTTAAATGTGCTGGATGTGTACGGTGCTGAAACAATACTACAATATCCGCCTTTATGTCAGTTGGAACAGATTTCACCACCATTTCATGAAAACTAAGCACTTGGTGGGTAATGGCATATTTTAATGAACGATGGCAGTCTGGACACAAGAGCTCACCTCAGAGGATTCCATTTCATCACACAGTCACAGGATGAATTGTTTTACTTATGAATATTAATGTCCCTCTAATTTGAGGCTGTTGTTAATGCTTGTCGCTAGGAGCTCGGCAAATCAGGTCCCATTCCTGTTAAAACCATGTATTAGACACCCCCCCCCTGACACTAAGCCCTCGCCTTTGATTCTTAATTGCGGCAGTGCAAGCATTTGCAGTAGATGGGGCGCAAAGCTTTAATTAACTCTAATATCACACATTCAGTCTCGACTGTCACCCACATCACGCGTGGCATTTTGTACCAATACCAACCCCAAAGAGTGTGTTCTTAGCTCATGATCACAATTTCATGCATTTCAAAAAAAATGAGGGATGTAGTTTATAAGTGGCGGTAATATATTGAGGTTGTCATGAAAACGTTTTTTTTTTTTTTTTTTTGTTAAACGTATTAAAATCATGCATCGATGCACGTCTGTGATTAGAGGACAGCTTTGATGAAAAGGAGTCGCAGCGCCGTTGGTTTCTTACTGAAAGCAACGTGTGACGGTGGCAGTTGTGGAATCGGAGGGCGAAGCTTGAAATATTAGTGACGTGATGAAAAGTTCAAGGATGTGTTTCAATCGTGGAGATATGTGGGAAAAAGAAGCTGCTCAGTAAATAAAATGAACCGCTCATACACGCTAATCTTCAAAGCATTTATTGCACTACAGAGTTCAAGTTTAAAAATACTATAAATTGAGTACAAGTATATTCAGAAACACTTAACATTAAAGAGCATTCCGCACAGAAACACCGCAAATGCCATTTTCACACATGAATGACTCTACACAACCTCTGAACATTTTAATAGAGCAGGTACGGAGCATTTCTGGTGCAGATATTAGTAAAGAGTAATGTTTAATTAAACGCGGTTTTAAGATAAAGAGCTCAATACAACCTATAGTTCATAAGCCTTCCCCAGCCATAAGCTACTGCTCTACCTAATCCTCTTTCCCATAACATTATTGCATCTGCACAGCCGAACATTTTCGCAGCATTTATAAAATTAGCAAAGAAATTAACTGTCCGCACTGTGGCAAATTGGATTTCCAAGTTCTTGCCTGGTGCTGCAGCAAAGCCAGGCTGCCACCTACAGTACAGCCGGAGAGCAGCTCAACACCGCACACACACAAACTGAATCCTACAGGCGCTTTCCCTCCTGATAAGATCATTAAAAGGACATTTGTTAAAATCCATTTTTGAATAAATACTGATAGAATTTCATTTGGGATGAAGGCGGTCGAAGGATTACACATTTATTCGTACTCGTTTTAGCGTGTAGAACAGCCAGTGTTCCCGCTGTAATTTGAAAACCGATAGCTTATGTTTTTAACTCCTAACATCAGAGCAGAGAAGATTTGCAAAAAAAATTAACAATTACATTCCTATGATTCAATAAATAGACAGAATCTTTAAATAACAAACATATCCATGACTGAAGACAATATTTACGACACTGGCAAAGTAAAATTAACATGAAGGAAGATACTCGCAGCTGCTTTTCACATAAACAGCTTTGTGAAATATAACTGAAAAATAATTCTGAAAAAGACACAACACCCATTGTGAAAGTAAATATTTAATCGTATGCTATTTAGAAATTCTTATATCAAATTTAACAAGACAGGTGAAGTGGTGAACAAAAATAAAGTTCTAACTAAGTTAGCGTGATACATTCGGAAATGACTAGAAACACACAACTTGTGATTTGACCCAATACGTTTCCTGTGAAATCTCTTAATTTTCCCTCAGTAGCAAAGTGTGGTGCAGCAACATTTAGCCTTAAATTAAAAAAAAAAAAAAAAAAAAAGTAATAACGATGTGAGTTTAGTGTGAAAAATGCCTTCATTCCACTCGCCTTTTACTTCTTCGCCTGAACAGTTTAGAGATGGAAGATTTCCTCTTATGTTTGGCTTTCTTTACTCCTATCACCCAAAAATTAGTGAGTATTAGACTGATGCACTTAAGTTTGGAAAATCTTAAAGAGAAAAGGCCTTTCGTGCAATACTTACCAAGATTTTGCATCATTTCATTCAACCGCTGATCCTCCTCCACTTCCCTGAATTTGATTTAAAAAAATATATATAACTGTTTAGCATTAGTCTTATTTGCATATAACTAATAATACAGAGTTAAATTATGGGAGGTAAAAAAAAAAAAAAAAAGTATTTTAAGATTGATCACGTTACCTCAGCCGGTCTTCATCCAAACCTTCCACTATTGCATTCCTGCCGTCCACGATCTCCATCAGCCTGCGCATCAACTTCTTCTCCCGCTGCTGCTCGTCTCTGGACTTCAAATAATCTGGAACGTCACAATTACAGACTTTAGTGCTGGAAAAAAAATGTAAAAAAAAAAAAAATCTAACAGAGGTGACGTTCAAAAGGGAGTCTGATCTCCACCTGGCTCCTCCAGAAGCCCGCGAAGTTCCGCCTCCACAGCCGACTGCTGCTGCTCCAGCTCCTGAGTTCTGGCTCTGAGGGACGCAGGCAGTCATTACATATTAGGTGCACGCAGAATCAATTAAAGCTAAACTTTGAGATACAAGCCATGTAGCAGCTCACGTGTAGACGAGCTCGGACTCCTTTCGAATGTACAGCTGCTTCTTTCGAATCAAGTTGAACCAGTCGACCATCAGTGGGTCCATTAGTAGGTCTCCCTCCCCCTCTGGAAAACACAATGCCACATTTTAGTGTTGGGAAGATACAGTTGTGACATTTTTTTTTTTTAAAAATCAAGTTCCATTGTCTAGTTAATGCGTTTTTACCGAGTTACACTTAAAAAAAAAAAAAATGACTACACTGGTCGACCTCAGACATTTTTGTAAAATGTGCATTAACGATCCAGAACGCAGCTCAACTAAATTTCTTACTTAGATGGAAATGTTTAAATATAACTCCTGATATCAGGGACTGAGGTTATAGAGCAACTGGAAGAATTATTCTCTAGTTCTCATATGACACAATAAAAGTGAGTGCAATGATGAATTAGTTTCTGGGGTTCAGGTTTGCAGAGATAGAAGGTGACTCATGTCAACACTTACAGGACTGTGAAGTCAATGACGCACAGCATGAGGTGAAGGGAACCCCAAGTCTGTTACTTTTAACCTAATGTTAACGTTGCAGCCACGTGCTGCGTACAATGGTAAATAATAAAATAGAAATGTCCCGTTTGGTTGACATTCTGCTGTTGGACTTTAGCATAACTACGAAGCTATGGATCGCCAACGTAAACATCCCTGGTTAGTTTCACAAATGTGAAGAACTAAATCTGTCTTTCTGCAGTTTTTAGACTGCTGGTCGTATCAGTATTTTAAATGCCAGGTTAGGAAACTCAATTTCTATATAATTAAAAGAAACATGACTTGTTAAATTCATTTTAATCATTAGTTGCAGCCCTCACGGTAAATACACAAGCCCCTGTATTCCAATCTATAATATAATTCATCATCCAACTTTGCAATTTAACTTGCGGGGTTGCAGGGCAACGCAGAGGGAATCCATGACGACGCACAGATTTGTCTTCATCACTTATTTAATAACTATGTAGCAGTAGGGATTAGTTAATTATTTATTTATTCAAACCCAAAACTTGAAGGACATGATTAATGTATATATCTAAACGTTGTAGGTGGTTTAAAGATTTTCCTAAAAGCAGGATATGCACTACAACACAGTTTGCATATTCCCACTGGAATACCCGAGCAGGTGGATCAATAGATTTCTTTGAGTGAATATTTGCCAAAGCCAATTAGAAACATTTACAGTGAGGACGGATCGGGACAAAGACGGTCTACATTCTCACATCACTGGAACAAACGGGATTTTATCATCAATTGAGAGCCAGGGTTGAGTTTCTAAGCGGAGCGGTAGATGATCTAGTGAGCGGACGATGTCAAATCCAAGCCATCGCGTGCTCAGACTTCAGGAGAAAAATAAAGTACGCAATAGACCGGAATATACATTACTACACTCGAGTCATGTTGACCTTGGCAAAGCAATCAGGCCGTCTACTGCCGCCACCTCACAAGAGAAGCAACGTCCCTCCGGGCTGCATGTGCCGCTCACCTCATTTGGCTGCAGACAGTAATAGAAATGGCAGGTAAATCTCTCACTAACACACGTGTGTGTGTGTGTGTGTGTCTACACGTCTCTCTCGCAGCAGTGTCACCAAATAAAATGTGCTATCTGCTAGTTTGTGTCAACTTTATTGGCCGCCAGAAAGGGAAATTGACAACTTCTCCCTGGGAAGGAGTGAAATTGAGAGTGTAGAGAAAAACGCACAATGCAGAGCGACGGGAACAAAGTACCTTCTTCACAGCGTCGGAGTTGCTTTTCCAGCCCCACGCCCTCCTGCTCCAAATGGGCCATGTTTGTCTCAATATCAGCAAGGTCCCTCTCAATCTGCTCCGCTGGAATATGATGAGACTTTACCTGATAAAAGACATGAGACAAAAGGGACTCGAGAGTCACAGAGTAAGTAAAGGTTACTTCACTTAAACGTGAAGGAGGGACTAGATTTTTCACTGGGAATATAATGTGCATATTTGTAGAACTGTTAATTAATCTCTTAAGAGACTTAATGGAGGGAACTTACAGAGGGTGACCTCATTTCAGTCCTGGAGGCGTTGGTGGGTGACAAATACTTTCCCTTTTTAGCACCTAAGAGGTAGATAAAATAGGATTAGATGGTCCTTTCATGGCGGCTTTTCAAAAAAGTATTGTCACATGTGACTACACCTGATTTATATTTGGCAAGAATCGACTGCTTGTATGAAATCAACAAGCTGGCTCGGGCCACATGTGTGCGCGCGCTTTGGATGACGACGTTTAAAAGAAAGAGAAAGAAAAGCTGGGAACCAACCTGACTGATTGTGATTGGCTGCTGCGGTCGACGAAAACGACTCCACAGCTGGCCGTCTGTTCGGAGATTTCACAGGCGAGTAACTCCCATGTCTGATCCCTAAGATGAGGACAAAAATAAAAGGTCTACATGCTGTAGATGTGCAGAGAGTCTACCAGGTTTGTGGGAGCCATGAAGTTATTCAAGTACAGAGGAACCCACCGAGGTTTTCTGAACCACGCTGAGGCTTCTGCAGAGAGATTTCAGGATCGAACAGTGCGACACTAACTGGAGGCGCTGCAGCAGCAGAGCGAGGCCCCGTGGTTCTATCGAGGACATAAGAGGAAGTCGGGGACTTGAATCCCGATTTATGTCGCTCGGTAAAAGCTTCGGCATCGCTGTGGGGAAAAAAAAAAAAAAGTCAAAGAGCCTTTAAAGTACGTCACCATATTAAAAAACAGGCTTAAAGAGGCATTTAATGCACTTGGTGTGCATGTGGAGCATAAAGCCACAGTCGGAGACCTCACCTTACGGAATGATAAAAAGGTAGGGAATGGAGGAGTCATCAGCAGGGATTAGAAATGAGAGGAGTCTAATGTTAGAGTGGGAAACGTTCAGGCTTGGCACTCCCTCGGGCTCGTTAGGACGGGGGACAGAGAGAGCTGATGAACTCTCAGCCAGTCAACATTCAGACAGACGGAAGAAGCGCGGCCATTCTGCATTCTGGAGAGTGAATAAGCTGAATGGTAAAAGCAGCAGTGGAAGGTAAATCGTGATCACCTTCGTGACATCATCCTCCCCCCCAAATCCACTTAGTGGGGGTTTTAGTAAATAGTGAAACGCGAGACGGTCCAGGGTACTTACTTTAAAGCTGGTTTCATAGGTTTGAGCTTCAGTTGCCCCCAGACTGGATCTGCAGACAAGCGACAGAAGACGTTGAGGGAATTAAAAAGCAAAGCTTATCACCACTTTACTCGAGTTTGAGATCATTCTTAATTTCAAAACCAGTAGGACATACTGTCACGTGAGCTTTTATTTGACATCTGCTTCGGCAATTAAGTGTGCACACAAAAGTTAAGCTTCCTGAACACCGTAAATAAAAGAGTTCGTAGACTCTTCTCCCTGTTACATGAGCAGCTCATGCAAGATTTATCATCTCACAACAATGTCCAAGCATAACGGATTCTCACCTGCATATCTATATTAAAAGTTAAGCTATAATCTGTTCATGAGACCAGTATATCAATTCACAAACTATGTGATCCCTACTAACAGGCAACATAATTACTTCACATGAAAGGAAAACGTCTATTAAAAAAAAGAATTTGAAGACCATTTCTGTAGAAAACCGGCAGTAATTGTGTTTCTGTCTGAAAAGCAGCCGCCTGTCAGGACGCTGCACGCGCAATCATCCAAGGAGTGACGGTTCAACTGTGACAGTTCGGCCATGAAAGTTCATTAAAAGTGCGAGACCGAAACGAACCCGCCGGTGTCCCACATCGCGGCCGTGTAAATAGGGCAGAGAGGACAAAGGCGCTTTGTTTTCAATGACTGCGTTGTGAGGAGACACAGGACGAACGAGGGCCGGATACCGGCCGGGATGTCAAATAGTGGATCAGGATCCACTGAAATGAACGTAGCGGCGCTTGCCTTTGGCATTTGTGTGCACGGCCGCTGGCCTCGCGCCGTCTCTGCTGACGGCGTTCAGGCATGCCGGCTCCTTATTGGGGGGCTGTCCTGCCCGGCTTCCTGCTGGGACTCGGCTGCGTTCATCTCCTCTCAAACCAGCGCTGACGGCTGAACTCGGCTCAACTCCAAACCTGCAGAGAGGGGGGGGGCGCTCGCCGTCACCCTTCACGACATAAATCACTGCAGAACCGTCCAAATACTGCAGACAGTACCCACCGACTCTCTGCTGATCGGACGGTGAACGGGCGTTTGTTGTTGTTGTTGCGGTTTTCCTCGGCCAGCGCCTTTCCGACGGTCGTCCTGGCTTTGCTCTTCCAGTCATCGGCACTCTGCGCGACCTTTCCAAAAGCACCCGAGGGCTCCGTGGACTTCCCGTGACCCGCCGAGGCCGCCGTGGCCGGCGCTGCAGCCTGAAAGAACCTCTGCCGGGCCGCCTGCGTCCGATGGGCCGAGGCCGTCCAGGCCCGGGAAGGAGGAGCAGGACCGGCCGGCTTCAGGACAACATCCGGAGGGGCTGACAGCACAGAGGGGGGGCGGGACGCCGGCCGGGCGCCGACGGCGCCGTTTAATCGAGCGGCTGAACTGGCGGGTCCGTTCTTGATCCCGGCCGCTGAAGAGGACGGCTTGCAACCGTTTTGGTGGGCGCTGCAGATATAAGTGTCTGGTTTCTTCCCGGGTTTGAAGCCTCCGGCGTGAAGGACACTGGAGCATTCACTGCATCTGGTGGACGTTGATTAGCGTCATATAATTAATGCAATGAACAGCACAGGAAAGTATCGATGACCATTGATTCAATTCTTACTTGAAACAGCTTCGGTGATACAGCTTCCCATCCACCAAGTGCCTCTGAACCAGATGAACGTGGCTCCTGCATGCAACGCATTTGCTATGGAGCGTTCCATGTTTGTTGGCGTTCTCTGCGCACACTGCCGTCTGGATGAAAATTAAAGTTATACTCCAGAACAAGGTTATTAATCTAAAAAGAAAAGTCAGTCCAGGTAAAAGTTGAGACAAATTCTGTGTCCCAACTTTTGAAAAAGTAAAAAAAATATATGATATTTGGACAGTTTAATATGGAGTTATAAATTATCAATAAAAAATATTGAATTGAAAAAATGGTCAAACAATGCAAAGAAAGTCAAAATATTAGGGGGAACATTTAAATAGGTTACGTGGTTTGAAAAATATGAAAAAAGTCAAATTTCATGAATATTTTAAGTGGAAAAATATTTGGGGAAAAAAAAAAGTGTTAGGTCAAATGTGTCACTTTTTTAGAAATGTATCTACATTCAATTAAAAAAAATCAAAAAAAAGTGTACGACAGTAAAGATTAACTGTCCGACACAACCATCGATTCAAATGTTTGAGGAAGCGTTCTCACAAGAGCACCGACCTGAGCAGTCGCTCCGCACGCTGCAGGCGCCGTCTGGCCAGTGAGGGTCGAAGGTAAACTTGTGCCGTTTTTAGACGCGAAGCTTTTGGCAACCACGGGGAGGTTTTTCTTCTCTGATGGCTCCTCCTTGGAGCCCTCTGCTGGCCTCTTCACACCCCCCACTGGAGGAAACAGTGAAGTTTCAATCACCTTCATCATACATACGAAACCAGCAACCCAATTTATTTATGATATTTGAACCGGCCATATTCTCACTGGGGGGACGTCCTTTGAAGTAGTTGTAGTACTGGGAGACGTAGGTAAGGATGCTCAGCCGGTCCGGGATCCTTAAAGCCACCATATCTTCTGCATCTAACAAAGCGGGAATCCCCAACTTCTCCTCTGCGACCTGAAAAGCCTGAAGAACACAAGAGACCGTTTAACAAACCGCTAAACAGCGTTAAGATTCAGCGTACGATGCACCAAGAAAACCAACACGGTGTTCATTGGGTGACGTCAGCGCCTACGATTACAGCAGGTCTAAAAATGTCAGACAATACAATTTAAGAGACTAGAAGTATTCTGTGGCTCTGTATGATGAATGGCACACTTCCTGCAGGGAAAGGGGGGCCGGGGGGGGGGCAGGATACTGGGTTATTGTTCTGGATCAGTGTGGACATGCTCCAATCCTACTGAATACAAAGTCTGCTTAAAGAAAAAAGCACAAATGATCAAGAATGTGAGAATCGGTTTTGCTGGTTTCTCAAGCGTCTCGTGTAACGGCTTGTAAAATAACCACCTGTAAGAAACGCGACACTTCACGTCATGAAAAATAGAAGGGTGTGAATTACGGTAACGTTCACCGTCTCAGGTTTCGGTACAGGGAGCATCTTCACATCGAAACCACAGAAGAAATATTCTGCGGCCAGAAGTTTAAAGTCCTACTCGGTAACATTTAAGACTTAAACAAACAACGGCTTCGAGTGAACGGTCACTGTGAGGATGGAGGGGGGGGGGGGGGGACGGGGTGCTGGCCTCATTCAAAATGAATCAGCCCGAGAGCTTTAGGTTTGTTATCGACACTCCCAGAATCATCCAAGGCCACAAGGAAGTGGTACAGAGGGCCGAGCCCGTGACCCGCCGCAGGAAGCTGGTCAAATGGAAGAAGACTAAATAATGGAAACGTCCCAGCTGAACCGCTCAGTAGGGGGGGGGGGACAAAATAAGTGAGTTCGAGTGGGGCGGAATAAACACGGCGTGGAAATGAAAATGTACTTTGTAGCTTCCTGCTGAAGCCGCAGTGATTAAAGCAAACGCGTACAGTGAAGAGCACCGCGTGCATCTCAGGACGTGTCATCATGCGTGAGGGGTTAAACGAAGTCACGCTTTAAAGCTCCACTATGGACACTGTTGAACAACTTGACATCTTACCAGCCTGTTGTTCTCAAACACGTCCTCCTCTTTCAGGGAGTCATAGTCTCTGGAAAAAAACAACAACATAAAAACACAAAAATGAGCAGAGAGCGAAGTTAGAACTTGGTCATAGTGGCGAGAACAATATCAAAAAGACTATGTCAAAATGAACATAATATACACTATCAAGGAATCACCTACCAATCTCATGCATAATATTTAAGGAATAAATTAGCCCCAAGATTACAAAATAAAAAAAAGGTGTTTGTCTATTGTTTTTGTAATAATACGGTTTACCAAGATACCGAGAAGTGCGTCGCAGCTGCTCCAGGTCGTCACAACTCACATGAGGTCCGGTCTGTACTTGTGTATCAGCGCGCAGAAAGCCAACCCGTTCTTGAAGGAGGTCGTCATGTTGGTGATGGCCACATCCGAGTAGCCGTCGCACTGCGTCTTGCACCACTGCTCCAAAGCCCTGATGGCAGCCATGCGGCCGGCGCGACGGGCACTCGCTCCCCGCGGTAACCGCACGAGCGGCGCAACGCGGGAGGAATCGGGCGCGGAGAAGCCGGTGTGGAGAAGCCGGGTGGAGAAATCGGGCGCGGAGGAATCGGTGTGGAGGAGCCGGTGTAGAGGAGCCGGTGCGGAGGAATCGGGCGCGGAGAAGCCGGTGTGGAGGAGTCGGAGGACGGGAAGGAAAAGCAAAGTGTGCGTGTGTGTCTGTGTCTGCAGCTGCGTCCTGTTTCCTTCTTGTAGCTGAACGGCAGCGGGAGCGGCTGGGGCGCGTCGCCTCCTCGGTGCGCGTTTCACTGCTCATTAAACTAATTGACACCGACTGCTGTCATCATCATTAACGACACTTGAATACAACTCGACTGAAAGGCAAATTGTTTATCTGGTGTGCGTTATTCCTTCGTTTATAATTCATTTTTTATAGCAAACTGGACAAAAAAAATATATATATAGGCTACATTAATAGTGGCAATATCAGTGACTATCAGCTAACTTTCTTTTTTTTTTACTTTAATGCAAAAAACGTACCGTATTATCGTTATTTAGCAGTCAGGAATATACAAGTTGACAAAGTACGTCTTTAAACTAATTCTACTTTGTCTGATTCCGCATCAGTCCACATGTGGAAGGAGACATTGTGGTTATTGGGGGCACTGGACGGGAGGTGTTTGTCCAAAGAACGCCCCCTGTGTTGGAAACGTTCCCTCAAGTGGAACCTTTTAGGTGGAACGAAGACGCATTGGAAATGGTCAATTGTTGCACCATCAGCAGTATCCAGTCACATTGTATGACGTGCTGTTCCACAACTTTTAGTTTTTTACAATTCCACGCCATCACGGTGAGTATGAGGACAAAAGTATGACATACATTTGTCCCCCGTCATCTTTGTGTGCGGCCTAATTGGGGACTAATTGAGGCCAACTATTGTCATGCAAAGGTTCTGGCCCAATTAGCTCACACGACCCATCGAATTTTAGGGGAAATATTGTAATTTGATTCTCCTGCAACATTATGAGACTTACTGGTAAATGTTGTTAAAGGAAGGATGGTTAATAGATTCATTCTGCTTGAAGAGGAAACTACATAACTATTATTTCAACATTCTTTTGTGACCTATATTGAAGAGTAGTGTCAAATCTGACCCCGATACCTTTAACATGAGTATCTGAAATATGTGTGACCATCACTAGGCTCAAGACTATGAGACATCGATTGTTTATTTGACACAACAGGATCTGAAGCAGAGGAATCCATCTCTTAAAGTTTAACTATTGCTGACACAACATACAAAATATTTGTGACCGCGGTAAAAAGAAATTAATGCATTTGCTGAATTTTAAAAGCAGCTTTCGATCACCTCCTTCCTGTCTTGAGGACGCCTTCCTTCCCAGAAGGGGGCAGCGTTACCCAGAGGAGCAGTGCAGGCCGCACACTGTTTTCATGCAGCACGCTGTTGTGCCAAAAGACACAAATCATGCTGTATTTCGTTTCTACTCAGTGAAGTTGTTCAAATATCTAATTATGAAAAAAGCTTCCAAGCTCACTGCTGTCTTTGTTTTGAAAGTTCAACACGTGAGAATCACTCGGATGTATCCCATAACAACCACGTCTGCGGTTTAACACTTTGGCTTGAATTTGGATTCAGAAAACCAGTGACTGTTTATCGCAGCCCTCAGACCCTGAAGACGTGCGTCTCTTCATGGAATCTGCGTCACTACCAACGAAAACATGAAGACAGAGTGTCCCGCGCTTCTGATGCATTGTGATTTCATTTTCCAGCTTTTCCCCATTTCTTTCTGCGAGGACGTGCAGGTACATGCAGACATCCTGCATGTGTTACCTGAAGGTAACCCGAGAGGTCAGGGATGAGCCTTCCATTAGTGAAATCATTTAGCAAATGATCGCCCTGCGTCCGATTTCAGCCCCCCCCCCAGTGGCATTTGTCATTTGTCACTGTTATCTGTTCAGGACTGATTTTCCTCCTGAGTCATTCAGAGGTAACAACCTCAGTCACATTCAGCTGGAAACGGAGAGTCAGAGGCATAAACGAGGTAAGCAATCACTTCGTAAAGGAATGAAAGAAATAGCTTTACAGTTTCACATTTTTATCCAAAAGGTAACTTAAAAAAATTAACTTTTGTACAGTTACAGTTAGTTTGTACAGTTTTAGTACATGTATATAATTTGATAGTATTACATGTAAAGAAGACTTTAACGCTGTGTAATAAGCTAAATAATGTCACTGCGCATTAATAGTGTGAATTCGCAGTCTCTCCATTATCATCTGTACAAACAGGAAGAAGGAAAACTATCAATCGCCTTCCTGCGTTTGTGGCCGCGTCTCGCCTCCTGACGCGCTCACGGCGCCGTGGATCTCGGCCTCGTGCTCTCTGGCTTTGGCCCTCAGCTTCGCGATGCTGCAGGAGCGGAGCTCATCGGGGCTGAGCCCCTCCGGCCCCTCGGGCCCCTCCCACTTCCCCGGCCTCCGGGTCGCGGGACGCACGCGCACACTCGCGTTTTTTGTCCACGGGTAGTTTCCTCCTTCCTGCGGCCCCTCCCGGTGCTCGCCGTTGGAACAGTCCGTCGGCTGTTTCAGGGTCGCGTTGGCTTTCTCCAACGTGTCTTCGTTGTCTCTTTTTACAAACGGCCCCCCGAGCGGACCCTGCACTTTGAGCTGCCGCCTCATCTTGGCACGCCGGTTTTGAAACCAAACCTGGAAAGAAATAAGTGAACGGTTAATACGAATGACAGGGAAGTTTGAATAGATAAATACACTTTCAACAGTGTAACAAACTGTAAGTTTAAAAATGATAACGATGGTATTTCAGGTCAAAGTTCAATAATCTTTCCACACTGTTTGATCTCTTGATGTATTATATGTTCACCTTTTAGGTCAACTGACATGAATATGAAATAATTATGGTGTCATCATTTATTTCAACCATTTAAAAGAAAAAACTTCAGGGGGTTTTGACTTTATTAAACTGTCATTTTTAATACATTTGCACAAATTAAGTGCTGGTAATGCACTTAAGACCTAATTCTAACAGGCGTGTTGGGAGGAAAGACTCAAACACAGTTTACGCTTTATAGCGATATCATTAATTAGATTGAAATGAACAATTCAGCGTATCAATTACTTGCACTCTGGCCTCGATGAGGTCCAGTCTGAGGGCCAGGGCTTCCCTCATGAAGATGTCTGGGTAGTGGGTGGTCTCGAAGGCCTTCTCCAGCTCCTCCAGCTGCCAGCTGCTGTAGTTGGCCCGTGCACGACGCTGCTTCACTGGCCTCTGTTCATCTGGAAAGCACAGCGCGAGCACCAATTACACCATTGCCAACGGGTGACAAGGAACTAATGGCTCTAGATTGGATAATTAGCACGGCAATCATTAGGCCCACATTAACACTAATTGATTGTTAGTTGCGAGCTGTTGGACAATCTTTTGTAAACATTTACACTGTGATCAGATGGCGCTCGCGGACTGTCTTAGAAACAGACTGTGGTCAAACTGTGCCAGTTTGGCGCCGCTGTGTCACTGGTCCCGTTCCTGCCACAGCAGCTTGCGGCGTGAACTCACCTACGCCCTCGGGCGGTGGTCCCATGCCGGCCGCCTGTGCGGCCAGGAGAAAGGCCTCCTTGCACGGCTCTGGCTGCAGATAATTCCTCAAGGATTCATAGCTGAAAAAGGGTCCCGGGATCAGGATCTGAGGTTGAGAGCCCAGTCGGGTGGGGAACGCCGGGAAGAAGTGAGCCGCGGGAGAGTGGAAAACTGCAGGCAGCAGAGTGGATACCAGTTGTCCAGGGCCAAACATGTCCATGGCGTTAAGAGCAGACGCAATATTAAGCATCGGTCCACTAAAACGGGCCGGGCTCGCTCCTACAGGGGGGTCTCCATTTAAAAAAAGAAGAGAAAAGAGTTGGGATGGTCCGCTGCGTGCATCTGTCCAGTCGGTGGTTAGATGTGCTGCATGCTGTCTCGGCGCAGGGATTAGGTGTTGCCTTAAGAGGAAAGGTAACGCTTGAGTAGTGGAGGTGGTCTCACCTTAGCTGTCTGTGCTTTTCCTCCAAATCTCTCTCTCCCTGCCTCCTTCCAGTCACATGGGCCTCCAAAACCGACAGCAGGGCTTGCTTTAAAGGACGGGGGCGAAAATGCAAACCTAGTGATTCATCCCTCAGTGGACCTCCAGTTTTACTCCATCAGTGTTTGCTGTATTCGTCATTACCTTTTTGACCACAATCTGTTGCTCCCATTTCGAGGGTATGTGTCCCCTGCGTGTTTCCACCTGGGACAAGTTGCAACATCTTTTGGCTTCTGAAATTTCAATCGGTGAGACGGAAAGGAGCTAAGGGTGCGGAAACTCACTTGTGAAGGTGACTAATGATCGCTGAGACATTTCTGCTCCCATAGATTTGCGCGTCTCATGTCTAGTTGTTATAGTATAGTGAGAACAAATTATTGCAAAAGATGTACAATAAAAACACAAGTTGCTCGGTCCTGTGGGATGAAAACAAGGTCGCAGGACAAACATCCTCCTTTTGAATTCCTGTAGGCTTATTTTCTTTATCAAGCACTAACTTTGTGTTTTTCACCTATCGCTGATTTAACAGCAGTGTTAATAAAAGTGCCAACTTACCAGGTCGTGTGAGCGTATGCACGCTAATCCCTTCTTTACATGAGTAGAATTCCACTAATGAAATAATAAACCAGGTGTAATGAAAATGTCCTGCCAACCAACAGAACGTGCTTCACCGCAGTACAAATATGCATTATTTTGGCTTAGTGGTTATGCATGTATTTCATCTTTAAACTAGTGAGTACAGTAGCTGTTGGACTTGGACGAAGAAAATAATACATTTTCTTTTTAATCAACATTGACTGTTTTAAAATCGACCGTCCAGTTACTAATTCACAGGGAACCTGACTAATCGGTGGGGAGGTTCTTGCCATCGTTGCCCGTTCACGCGACTGTAGTCCAAGTGTTACCGAACACTCACGGGATCCTTCCGTCTCGGATCAAAGCGTTCACATCAACACATTATCAGCCAGGACAGGAAAGCGCATTAACACTTCTTTTCTCTGGGCAAGCAGCTGTGGCTCAGCGCTGATGGATCTCTGATGAGATGATCGCCCCGGCACCGTCTCCGTGCATCAAACACAGGTGTGTCAATTAATCCGAAAGGTACACGTCGGCTCGCGACGCATCTCGCTTGCTGTCGGCCTTGTCGCCGCTGGACCGGCGGCGGGCTGAGGCGGCTTTGATCAGCGCGAGACCTCTGCAGCTGGTCAGAGCCGAGGGGAGTCACGGGATGGTCGTTCCTCTGCAACACCCGCCCGCCCCCACCTTTCATCTGCACCTGTTCAAACACCAGGTCAATGCCTTAGTTGAGGCAGTAAAAGGCTCCATGTTGGGGTTTGGATGTGTGGTTAAAGGTCCACGCTTTAAGGTCAGAAGAACTGAAAATGGCCACAACTTCAACCCAGAATTTTATTCCTGCGATTTAATTAATAAGTGTTGGGAATATCGTGGGAGGCCTGAAGGCTCCGGTGAGACCAGACTAATAAAACCTTCTTTACAATGAATCAAATGCTCATTACTGAGGTGTATTGAATTAATAACACAAATAATAATCCAGACTCTGCATTTATTTAATTTAGGCGTTTACAGGGAGGACCTTCGTCATTGGTGGGCAACACAACTATCCGACTAGAAACATCGCTCTGCACCTTGATTCAGGGAACAGACAGAGATTCATCTCTTGGTTCCAGGAGGAAAAGCCCAATGGATGTCGTCTGAATAAACACCGAGTGTCCTGGGCCTGATGACGGACTCGCTATCTGAAAGTAGAGCCCCTTCTCCCAACACCCCTCCCCCCAAACCACTGTGTTTGTCTGTGCCTGGGTCCTCTAATGCCCATTGATCCACATAATCAGGGAGAAAATTGGGCCGGGGGGGGGAGGGGGACACAGCGGGGGAGGTTCTGACAGTCGTTACTCAAAAGAGCGGCTTGTGGATAATTGAAGGAGGCATTAAGACAACAACGGTAATGGCTGACGCCGGGCCTCATTGGTCCCTCCGGTATCTCTGGCTCCCTGGATGACAAGGCACGACCGGAGATCCACAGCGGAAATGGCAAACATTGTGTCATTGGCGGAGCTTCGACTGCAGGGACAGAATGCGAGTTATCCGCGGGTTTAGCGAGCTTGACATGAACGTGTTTGAGCTCGTATTCATTCATTGCAAAGCAGAGGTAAAGGGACATCTGAAATCCTCCTCAAATGTGTGTTTTTTTGGATCTCTGATGACATTATTTTTCGGAAATGTTTAAATACTTTAAAGTCCCTGGCCAATAGAGAGTGTGTTTTGTCTGTTGAATGTCTGGCCGTCCCTGTGCACTTTGACACTAGAAAGCTAAATCTGAATTTAGGACATGTGACAGTCCCAGTCCAATATCCAACTAGCAAGCCGCTAAGCCTCACGTCGCACAACGCATCTGCTGGAATTAGTTGCAGAAAAGCTCTTTGGATGTGAAACGTGAATTAAACGACGAGGGCTATTTACCTCCTCTTTTCCCTTTGAAAGGCCGAGCTAAAGTGGATTAACTCGTGCATCATACAATCTAACATAATGGAGGATGTGAACACTGCACATTATTACTCCTTCTCATCCACTACAATGGCACTTCAGTTCATGAAGCAAGAGTTCTGCCAAATGTCGTGCCAAGATGGGTGATTATCGCCGGCTACGCCGTCACGGGAATATATCTATCTGGTGTAATTTGCAGGCTTGAACAGCAATGAGCAAAGATAAGATCAATATTTAATGAAAGTGTAAGTGAAGCTTAAGGGTTTGTCACTCACGCCTCTGCTGTTAATGACATGTCACATTATCATCCTTATCACATCGGGTCAATCTGTACTGCAATTACCGGCTTGGTTTCTTTTGAATTCATTACAAACGTCGAATCCTTTCAGTCGTCCACCTCTGAGCAAACACACCACGAGCGTCTGACTGCTCGCGTAGGTTCTTCACCTGCCTGCACAAACTTCAAACTATTAATGGGAGCCTGGAGTGGTATAATTCAATCATCGCACCTGAAATGTGTTTTTAACTGGGAAGAAAGGTGTATTTTATGGTTGAGGAAGCCCCTATGCTCGGTGCCTCACTCTCTCTGGTAATAGTATCCCAGAGTGAGCGGGCTGATTGTTTTAGTCCTGGATCACTGGCCGTGGGATAAACCTGAGAGCCCAACCTGCTTTTCATGTCAAAAACCTTCAAGGGAAAGCGGCCACAATCCAACAGCAATCACACTTGAGACATCAAAGTGCCAGAGGGGCGAGAGACGGTCCTACATTTTTTTTTTTCCACGCGAGCCAAGCGCAACTCAAGCGTGGCGGAAGAGGAGATGATCTAAGGCGAGGGCGCCATTGAGAGGAAGACGGCGAGCAGACAGATGTGCGTGGGCAGGTAGCGGCACATCGGGGGCCCCCCCGACACCAAAAGGCCTCCGCTGGTCACATTCCTGCCCGCTGCTCCTCCGCTGTCCACTTTCTCATGGGCAGGAGGACCGGCTGAGGACCAGAGTTCACCGGTCCTCAGCCGGTCCTTCCCCGTTGTGCACTAAATGTTCTCACTAACGCAGAAAGGTATCGGTAGAATTATACTTTGTTTGGCAGGTGAAAGATACATTTAAACACCTGCTTAAAATAAAGTTGGGTGATTTTGCGAAGTGGTTCCCAACCGAGGGGTTCGGCCACCCAAAGGCGATCACCAGCTGATCCAATGGGGTCAAAGGCTGATTAGTGGATGTGGAAAGACTATATTTTATATCATGTTTTACATCATTGGCTTTTTTGTGAAATATTTGATTAGTTTTAAAAAGTTTCAAACTCTTGATGAGGTAAAACCGTTGTAAATGACGAGGAGCTCCTAGTAGACAAACTTCTTTGTTTAATACTTAACAATGAATTGTATTTTATAGGAGCAGCTTTTAACTTTCTATGTACAGAGTTCATTCTGGAAAGCAGAAAACATTTATGTCCAAAAGTTTGTGGCGTGCCATGAAAAGTGAGAAATAGCAAAAAGAAAGACTTTTCCAGAATGCTTAATATCTTATGGCAATGAAGCAAAAAGCTCAGCATGAACAATTAGACGGTGAGCTTGCAGCTGCATTTCAGGGCATCGGCCCGGTATGATGAATGAAGGCAAGGGTTGTTAACTTGTCAGTGGTCCGTCACACTATTCAACCCCCCCCCCACTACTCCCTCGTTAGCTGTCATTCATCTCTGTTCCGCCTCACTGCTGCGCAGCCAATGAGAGGCTGGCGCCTGACCAAGAGCCCAGGCTGCAAAGACTTGTGTTGTAAGTTGATAGATAACCATAAACAGAGCTTTTGGGAAGTTATAGGACACCATACAGGTGCAATTAGCGCATCAGGCAGCAGAGGCATGATGGGTACGACATGTTTGGCTTTACGTGTGGAGTTTTTTATAGGAATGGATGAGCGAATATATTTAATATAAATAAAAAGTGATGTTGTCTGAGACGAGCTGCTATCAGCCGGCCAACCGCTCAGAACACCCGTTATTCTGAATGTCCGATGTTACTGACCCAGTGCAGGCAGGTAAACCCCCCCCCCGAGAAAACCTATGCTATGAGATCACATCACGTCTTCAAAGCACCTCAAGTGTTTCCATTGCATCACATTGTTAATTTGTGCGCTGCAGATGAAGAGCGAGCGAACACACGACAGCTGTTTCCAGTTTATGCTGATCCAAAAAAAATCATTGGAATGAAATGAAAGGCCAGAAACCTTGTGGCATTTATATCGGAGTCTCTAAACTATTATTAACTACTATTAAGAAATGACCTGTTCTTGTGAGTAATATAAATCGTTCACAGTAACGGTTTGTCAGATCGGCGTGTCATTGTTAATAGTTTGATGGAATGAGGGAAAATAGAAGCAATACGTGTTGATGTGTGATGGCACGCAGTCCATACTGTTGATATCTTAAATTCAAGCTGGCAAGCAAACACTAGTGTGCCGTTTTCCGACTACACATCAAGCGTTGCACTTTGTAATAAAGTATATTAGTAATTTAATAACTGCAGAAGAGCAAAAACTCCCACACAAATGTCTGAAAATACAATAAAACCAAATGTTTTAATTAAAATGTAATTACTTTTTTAATACTTATATTACAATATTCATTATCATTTTGATATTCTGTGTTGCCTTCAACTGCTAATATAATATCACCTAATTATACCCCAATTCTTCTTATCTTTTAAATAATTGGTTAATCTATCATTATATCAGCTAAAAATGACTTGAACTCCTTCAGAAGCAATACATGTACTAATTGTACCATTATTAGAGAGCCACGCGGTTTATTAATAAGTGATGATCAAATTACAGCAATGTTTGAAGTAAAGGCAATCTAAAAAATGTAACTCTGGAATGCAGAAAATGATGAACGCTGTAGGAAGTGCCGCCGCGACGCTCTGCTGTTACGTCGTTGCCTCCATGTGAAGGACCTTCATGGACTCGGAGATCATTGAACTGGTGTCGATTTGTCCGTAGATGCCCACCAAAAAGGCCTTGTGGAGCAAGATGTCTGCGTGTTCTGTGAAGGAAAAGAGCACGGATGCGTGACTGGACTCTGGGTGTTGAATCACTGCCTGTCAAAGACGTCTTCTTCTACCTTGACAGAGCAGCACAAACTCTGGGAGATTCCTGAGAGCCGTTTGTACCACGTCGAAGTTGCCGCTGCCCATGCAGTACATGAAGGTTGGCAGGAAGTCTGTTGCTAGGCTGCAGCAGAGAAAACAGGTAAATAGTGACAAAATAAAAGCACGCAGACAGACGGCGTGAAGACTGACAGACTGATGGGAATCACTGCGCCGCACAATTCCCCTGTTGCTTCCTGCAAACGCTTTCTCTGCCGTCAACTCACCACGGATTGTTCTGTATGCAGCGCAGCGCCAGACCGAAGGCCATGTTCCGACACAACTCCTCGGCGGACGCCATGAGCCTCTGCAGGTCGTTCTAAAGCAGGGAAACAAAGCGCCGATTGAGGACTTGCACGCCGACGGGCCCCGCGGTTACCTCTGCTCCCTTTGTGGTTGCTCATGACTCACTATGAAGTACTGGATGATTTCTGGGCTCCTTCTAGACTTCTCATCCACCTCCGTCAACACTTCCAACACGTCTGAAGGGAAAAAAAAACAGCATGGTTACTCATTACGACACTGATGAGATGCACACGTGTGTACGCCAGTTTGTTTGTTACCCTCGACTGCTTCTCCTCTAGACATCTTCTTCAGGTACGTCGTCATGTCAGCCGCACTCAGGGAAACAGCGGCAGATATGTTGACTAGCGGCAGGGAACCGGTGGGCAGGTCGTCTGGCACCGAGCAGAAGAAATTAGTTTACCAAAGAGGGCGACGGTGTATTCCATACAACACCACCAGCTAGGTGGACTGAACTGGTAATGTTTTGGTTTCTGTGCAAGCAACTGCATGAACTCAAGAGATCCTCCTGCGCTCACCATCTCCCTCCTCTGGCGCAACCTCTGCAGATGACCTCTTCACTGGCAGCGTGAGTCCCGCCAGCAGCGACTTCAGCTGAACCAGGTCGGGGTTTTCGGCACACAGACCCCTTGGGCAGTTGGAAGAGCAAAACTAAACCTCTAACAAAGCCTTTTTTTCCCCACTAAATAAAGTACAGTGATTTATAGTTTGCTAAAACCAAAAAGGGTCACACTCACTGCAAGATGGCAGAGTGCTTCTGTAAGTAGGGAATGGCGGCCGATGCAACGTGGGTGATGTACTTCTGCGTGAACTGCAGAAACTTGTTGATGAAGACCAACGGAGAACGAGTCCTCTGGAAGTTCTACGGGAGGAACGATGCACGAAACGCATATGAATATTGTCAAGAGATCCTGAGATCTAATCCAAGGTGAGGAGCTGCCGGCGCGCAAGTCGCCTACCCGGAGGACCTTCATAAATGACAGGAGGCAGTCCTGAAGCGCCCTCTGGTGGTCGCTGTGGAAAACCAGCGGCTGAAGCAGCTCCAGGATGGCGAGCACGTTGCTAAAGAACGTCATGTGGTTTTGCTGCCTGAACTCCTGCATGTTCAGGTGAATGCGGCCGTGCAAGAGACCTGCAACCATAGGCAGGTGTCTGAGGGGGGGGGGGACAAGGAAAGGAAGAAACGCGTTAAAGTCGGCGTACGTCGACCAAACCCTAAAGCTCTGCTGCGCACTGGGTACCAACTGGTTTCCCACCTGAGCAAAAGGACAGGGTGCGACACGGCCAGCTTCCTGCAAGCGAGGTTGGCATCAGACACGCGGCCCTCCACCGACTTTGAGTCTCCTATATCGGCGAGCAGGTTGACCAGACGATGCACCAGGACGTCGAGCTGGGAAAGAGGCAGAAAATAAGTGTGCGCGCGCCGCACTGCGACTCCGTAGCTCAGACAGCGAGCCGGGATACGATGTTTACCTTGCAGCTGCTGCCGTCTGCGGCCCCCCCGCTGCTGAAGGTGCCTTCAGGCAGGGTGACGTGCTGGATGACCTCGGGGAAGTGCAAATAGATCTGCAGCAGCAAGTTCTGGCACCGCTTGCTCATCGCACTGAGAGAGAGAGAGAGAGGACAAACACAATGGGACGTATGCAACACATTCCCCTTTAGGGGAAACACATTTGATTTATTGGTGGCCGAGACGGTTCGGCTGTTAAAGCTCGGTGAACAAAACGACCGTGAAGCCTAAATGTTATCGAGTAGTGTAGCGTGGCGGTATTTAAGTGGCGGTGACTGGTTAACCAATTTTGAGAAGCCACAGAACTGTTTGTCACAGCTTTTAAACTGGAGTTGGCTTCACTTTATAGTGGGAAAACAAAGCAAACAATGTCCCCAGTTTGACTGAGGAATTACCTCCGGATTCTCTTCTCCATCTCTTTCAACGGGTTATGAACAGAGCTGACATCACATCACGGATTAGAGAATGATGAAGCACTTTTCTAATGTTTGTCTACCAGCTGAGATAAGTCATGTAAACCAGTACGAACTGGGCACATGAGCAGTGTAATATCATCCGAAGGCTCTTGCCTTGAAGTAACTGTGGCTTCACAAAATCCTTTAAGGCTCTTGTAAGACTCGAGTGATGTTCTCTCCGCTAACTGAGGAGATTCATTACAGCTGTGAATTAAGCAAATCAGAGCGACCTTGACCGAGAGTAAAGAGTCTGCTTGTTGTTCAAGAGTTGGTGTGTAATCGCAATAAACAACAGCTTATTCCCAAGAAGAACGCGCAACGTAGAGCGCCGTGTTTATTCAACACAAGGCCAAAAGCCTTTACTTTCAACATGTTGTTATCCGGCCGTATATTCACCAGCAACAATTTGACCAGACAGCTTAGCTGTACTTAAAATACTGTAATTCAGAAGCTAATTTTGCTTGACCTTGGCCAAGGTTTCCTCATTAAAGTGGCTTAATAAGCAGAGACATATTCATGAAAGGAGGGTTTGCCTCCACAAAGAGTTGTACCCTGATCTCTGACAGCCGAGTCCGAGCAGGAACTCACAACACGGACGAGTTTGGAGCTTCAGCCTTAATCCTCTCGGCTTCACTGTAACGCACTGAGCTTTTAGGGAGATCACAGTACAGACGACTTCTGCTGGTTTTAATTTCACACCAATAGACCTAATTATGGAGTTTTCCCTGGTCCACAGCACAGAGAAGAAAAACCTAGTGCAATTTACCCCAAGGACTGTGCGTGTTTATGAAACCGTAGGTCAAAAGGTGATGAGATACAGCGTACCTGTCCTCCCATTTCTTTGTGCAGTTGATGAGGTACTCGGAGACTTTCTTAATGTTTTCTAGCTCCCCGCTGCAGTAGGAGTGAAGGAGGGGGAGCCTGGACTGGATGAGGGAGCAGGAGGTCTGGTCCAAGCTCCTTTTGTCATCGTCGCGACTGTTGAGCTCCGACTCGGACAGGATCAGGTCCACCAGGCTGATGAGCTCTTCAGAACGGAGCCTCAGCACAAACTTCTCGGTTTTCTTCTGCAAAAGAAAAAGATGAATCAAGCAGAAAGAACTCGCTGGCTTCCATCTCAGCAAAGAGGCCGGAGATCAAGTGGGGACCTTGTGCCTGGACTTTTGATCTTACTTGAGGGATCTTCTGGTCGCGGCCCTGCCAGATGCGCGGGATGTGGCTACAGGCCCACAGGAAATCAAGCGCCGATGATGGGTCAAGTCTGGAGGATGTTACACAGACATGCTCAATAAAATCTCATGCATCGAGAAACAAAAACATATCACACCACAAAACACTGCTTGACAACATGTTACTAAAAAACCCCAAATAGGTGTACTTGTAGTCTCTGCGCTTGCTGAGAAGAGCGCTGATGCACTGCAGGAGGGTCGACCAGTTTGACTGATGTGTAAGCAGGGCCAAAAGATACGGCCGGTAGGCAGGAGTTCCTCTTGACTGAAATGGAGAAACGGCAGGAGAGGAAGCATCAGGAATGACTTCACTGTCAAATGTTCGGTATTTCTAGAGGGGCATCGCTCATCCTACCCGGTTCAGGGCGAACAGCAGTTTCTGCTGAAGTTCTGGACACACTGAAGTGACCTCAGGGTCGAGATGCTCGAGCCAATCGACCAGCAGTCCGGAGCTCAGTCCTGACTTTGTCACCTCGGTGCTGCTGGAAAAGGTGGAGCTTGAAAGGTCACCTTTTTATAGAGAGTCTGACCTGAACTGCAGTCTTAATCAAGACCCCAGACTACGACTAACAACAAACAAAACCGTATTCTCCACAAATAAAATCACTACATATTTGTATTCAGTAAGTATCTGCCCTTGTGGCAGCGATTCTTTAAAGTCAGTGTAAAGCTGCAAAACCAATCAAACCTTTTCGAACCAAATCCAAAAGCAGTTTTGAATACGAGGCCACAGACAGCAAACGCCGCTTGGTTATTTGTTTTGTCACAGAAAGCCGTGTTTGTCATTGAGTCCCGTCAAATATAAATCCTTCTTGCATGACTGGAAAGGCAAACGGAATTGCGGTTCTCACTTGTTAGAATCCACTTCCTTTTTCACAGATCGCTCCTCGCTTTCCTGAAGCAGCAAGGAAATCACCGTGGCAACCGGGCCAGCTGTCCCGGTCTGGGTACCAACGGTCATCAACAGAGACAGAAGCTCCTCCAAATACGGCGACCGCACGTCCATCAGCCCTTGTAACACTGGAATGGAATTTAAAAAATAAAAATAAACATTTGACTAATGTTTGAAATGCTCACTTCAAATACAATGCACATTGTCATCAGAGAGTTAGTACCTTTCCCAATGAGCTCTGGTTCAGCGTTACATCGCTCGCCGGACTTCAGCATCGCAATGACGGCTATCAGGGGCGGTTCGATGTCTCTGCGATAAGCCAAAGCCTCAGCCAGGTGGAGGAAACCTGAACGCACTGCGAGGCAGAAGCTCTCGTCACTCGCTGACCACAAACAAACGAACCAACGCTGCGGGAGGCGGAAAGGATGGAGGGGCTCACCGTCACTGTGCCGGTGTTTGTTAGAGTTCTGACCAGCGAAGGATTTCAGCAGAGTCTTCAGTGGTCCCGCCTCCACGGTGGGGTTCTCTAGCCAGATTAGCATCTCGAGAATGACCTTCAGGAAGAGCGAGGAGAAAGCCGCGTCCTGGGACACGAGGCGCTGCGAGAGACCGGATCAAGATGAGCCTTCTGTAGAATGTTTTAGGACTCAGCATGGAACGAAACACTGGTCAGAAGCCGGCCTTACTTGGTAGAGGTGGAGTTGGCGCATGAGGGGACAGGACAGGGCGTGGCTTTGGTGCATCGACATGACAATAGCCCCCGTGTGAGTCGAGGTCAGCAGGGCGGCGAAGGCGCGCAGGAGCATCAACGCCAGCCCGCCCGGCTCAATGTGGCCCTGCTTGGCGCGCATCAGCTCCTTGGCGAGGGCCTGCTGCAAGGCCAGAGAGAGCTGGCTGGGGGGGGGGCCGTGCCAGCGAGGGTCCACTTTCAACGGGAATATCTGTGAGAGCAAAGGTTAGAGAAACGGGTCAGTTTGATAAGGTGATAAAAACTTTTACTCGGGTTCTTTCTCGAGTAATGAGACGTCTTTGCCCACAGAGTTGTATTTTCATCCAAAAAGTTTGAATGAGAAAAATAATCAGAAATAAAAAAAAAAAAAGTTTGAAAATCCCACCTGAAGCAACATGCTGGTGAGATCGTCATCAGGCCTGACTTCAGGAAGCTGACTGGCTGCTCTCATCTTCACAGAGCTGTGGGGCGTTTCCACGGTAACTTTGGCCTTACTTGTTTCCGCCGAATCTGTCAGATGTTGCCAGGACACGGACGGACTTCATTTATTTGCTTTCATTTTGTCACTTTACATTGTGCGGTACGTTATCTAAGATAATGTGCCACAAAAAAGGAATGTCAAATGGTAAGTAAGTGAGATAAGTAAGTTATAACACCAAACACACCAACCTCTATTTGGAGGGAGAGAAGAGCTCAGTAATGAGTGGAACGTGTGCCCCCCAGTGGCCCCTCGCTCATGCTGCACTTCCACCAGGTGGGCCATGTAGTCTAATGCAGGAAAAAATACAAAAATGAGATCAAATTTCCTGCACCCAAAATGTCCTATGGTAGGAAATCTGCTGCACTCTTACGCTTGTCCATGATGTTCTGCTCCAGGGTCTCTGTGTCGTGAGAGACCGCCTGGTCCAAGTACTGCAGCAGTTTACTCATGCTGGACACAGGAATGCCAAAGGACTGCACAAACAGCAGCAGCTGCTGGGACTCCAGGTCTTGTAAAGCTGAGGGAGAACATGCATTACTCAGTTAGCAAGTAAATATGTATTTACATGGAGACCCTGCACATTGTGATGTTATTTAGTTATACCTGCATCAACTAATCGAGAAACCTCCGATCGGATCATTCTCAGTTTCAACCAATCAGGGAGCAGAAGGGCCTCTTCTGAGGTGTCCACCAGGAAGGCGGTCGGTAGAGGTTTCTTGTCGGGGAACCAAATGTCTAACAGAGCGTAGAAATCGCTCTCTCCTGTAACAATACACAACGGTGAACATGTGCTACGTGGCGTCTTCAGCGTGGAACTGCAGAGTTAGCAGGACTACCTTTGGGGGGGCCCAGCGTCAGCAGGATAACCATCGCATGAACAACAAGAATGTGCATTGTGGCGGTCTCTCCTGTGGTCCAGCGCAGAAACACCTGGTCCTGAGACTCTGACTGGGGGGGGGGGGGGGAGCACAAGTTTAAGGCTTTTTTTTTGCTTACAGACGACAGACTTGAATTAATATTCAAATGCAGATGAAATTGTGTTTGCAGCTGTAAAATATATTTTTAAAATCTGCTCAATTTGTTTCATTTATTTGTTTAATCACAGGAGATTCTGTAACTTTAATCTTGGCTTTCTCAGCCTTTAAAATAGTACCAATGTAACTGTAGTTCAGTTGGTAGCTCCTAGCGATGCTCACCCAGCTGTAAAGATCCTCGCCCTCTTTGGTCTTTCTCATCCTCTTGATGTACGCAGAGAAGATGGTGAGGAAAGCACTGAGCACGGCGTCGGACTCGGGCCTGCCGGAGTGTCTGGAGAACAGGCTGTTCATGATGGTGGAGCGCTCGACGATTAATCGGGCAACGTCCTGCGGAGAGCATTTGGGCATCACATTCACTTCAGGGGGGGCTGCTCGACAAAATAAACTCAAGGCAGATCCAATGAGAGCATGTAATGTGATTAACGTAAGTGACTCGCCGTGATTACCAGGGCCAGGTCATTATGAGAAGCCTGCTCCTCAACTGGTGCATGCTGGGAAAGGTAGATGAGATAGGCACTGATCGTCTGCGGATCGGTCTCCATATGAATGGCCTGTGAGAAGGCAAACAGACACAGACACATCGCTCATTGATCATCCTTAGAGGTTTCTTTCTGGCTGCGGACAGTTTACTGCTGCGTGGACACGGACCTGCTGCAGAGCGGTGGACGTCATGCCTCTGACGCTGTCAAACAAGGGGAGCTTTGGGAGGTCCTGTAGCAGCCACTGGTACCCTGGCAAGAGCTCAGCATCTGTGGAGTCTTCCTCCATGGGCTGATCCCGCTCGTCTCCATCTTTCAAGCCTCCTTCACTCAGCACCAATGACAAACCCTACACATAACATGCAAACGGGTGAAAGGAGCCGGGTTTAAACAGTAACACGATGCAACCTGAGAATTTCTTTCTTCTGCCTCCCAACACGGTACCTTCATGGCCAGGACTCTGGATGCCACCTGAGAAGAGCTGAGACGACGCAGAAAGTAGTCCAGCACTTCACACGTGGTCTGTTCGTCAGCCTTAGGACCTAACAGAAGATCCTGGAGCCGTCCAAGGAGCTGCCTCTGCTTTTGCTGTCTCTAACAGGAGAACGGATGAGAATACAGAATTATTCAGTCGGTGATAAGCTAAACAAACATTGTGCATGAATGTAGCATCTAAATTGAAGCCCAACGGTGAATTAACATCATTTCAGTTGTTGTAATCAGCATACTTGTCTCTTCTTGGCTTTTTGCTCTTTGCTTTCTCCTTCATCGCCGTCCTCTATTGGCAGATTGTCATCAGCAGCGTCATGCAGAAGAAATTCACACAGGCACTGCACAGGCAGCACGTCCAGGGACCCCTCGCTGGACTGGACCAAATCCGCCAACCACGGCATGGACTGAGAGGAGCCCTGTGCAGGATTAATGTGTACTTCAGTTACAGGATGCAAACTGAACACAACGGCCTAGAAGCCAGTATGTTTGAACAGGTTTCCAAACACAGAATCACATGCTTGTTGTAGTGCGGTGTGTCCACATCACCTGTCTCTGGATGATGTTGAGGAGGAAGTCTGGGTTGCGACTGCGGCAAAGGAGATGACCGAGGCGCAGAGACTGGTTGAGGGTTTTCACCTGCTCCTGGATCTGGGGAGGAGGTCGGCGAGGAGGGCCCCTGAACACAAACAAAGAGCATGAACCCATCCGGGTGGAGCGAAGACGTTCACTAACCTCCACCCCCCACACTCCCCCTTCAATCTAAACAAAGTGGAGGTTGTTGGAGAAGTGTCAAGATCCAACGTGACTTCTTAAACGAGCCATTTCCTTGGTTACAAGAGGCTTTGTGTTAATTCTCTTGGATTCTTACTGTGGATCCAGGCTGGTAAGCTGAGACAACAGCAAGCTGTTGCTCTCTGTGATGGTCTGTTTGGTGGAGGCGGCGGCCAAGTGGCTCTCGAAGGCCAGGATCTCCTGCTTCTCTCGCTGCGAGAGCTGCAGCTCCCTGTTGATCATCTCCGTCTTTGTGTCCTCGTCCGCAATGGTGCATGGCGGGTAGCTGTAGTTACTGTGGAGACAGAGAGAGGTGTTAAAAAAAGGTTTCCAGTGTTATTAGCCAGGAACTGTCGTATTAGATGACGACCGCCACTCACTTTGTCATAACCATCTCCATGAGCATTTTCAGGGTCGGATAGCCATCCCAGGCGGCCAGACCTAACGGAAAAACAATCAGACAAATTATCATTACGGTTACATAATTGCTTAGTAGTAGTTAAGAGTAGCTACTCTGTGGTGCAGAATAGAAGACAAGAAGTTCTGTACCTATTTTCTGAGGGTTAAACGCAGCCACCACGAGCAGCAGCAGCCACGCCTTCCAATACAGTGCAGATATGGCCAGATTTGGGTGCTGGTACCTAAAACATTGAGGGTTAGTTGTTATTTCTGTGTTACAGTGTTAACTGTATGAGCTGAAGGTTTTTTTAAAGACGGTTGAAGTACCCTGCAGGCAGCTGAATGTTCTCTGGGTGGTGGTATGTGCACAGATTCAGCACTGCATCAATGAGCTGGATCCTCTCCACTCTCAGGACGTCCAGATCTATTTAGAAAGAAACAATATGTCGGCTTTGTGGGTTTCAAGAATCATGCCAAGAAGTATCAAATTAACTACAAGCGTATTTCCTTCCTTCCTACTTTCCTATCTGAGGCACCTATTCTTCCAGAGCGTAACACACACAGCTTTAACCGGGATCATAAAGCGCGACAGCATGAGAGGATCCTCACGCACCATCAGACTGAACTCCAGCGGCCCTCTTCACCAGGTGGTCTGCTAGCTCCATGGCGTCGGCCGGGCCCAGGGGCAGGTCACGTGACAGCCCGATCACCAGAATGCGCATCAGCGTGTCCTCCAGCAGAGGCACCTCGGAGCAGAGGCGCAGGAAGAAACTGAGGAGGAATTTACACAGAATGCCGCGGTGAGGTAACTGGAGAAAACACGGCTCCTTCTGAATAATAGTGGAGGAACGCTCACTTCCGGTCACTCTCTGGAGGCCAGTTGTCCCACTTGTAGTACGTCTCCGGTTGTTCTGTGAACAGCACTTTGTGAAGGCTGCAGACATGAAAGAGGTGGCTCACATATGAAGTAGCTGAAAACATGCTTAGCTTGTGTAGTTTTAACAATAAACACATCAAATGCACGCAGATACCAACCAGTGAACATAGTCTTTTGCGCCCACTTTGCTGATAGTGGGAACCACGGTGTGGAGCCACCACACCGCATCTCTCTGGATGGAAGCGATCTGATTCTGAAAGGACCTCAGGCTCTCCAGATCTGTCACGAAGCAGACGCGCGTTTAAGACAAAGTCCGCCATGCGTACGACGGTTTAGATACAAGCCGGAACAAATGCACAGCACTGACTCTTCTTCTCTCCTTTGTCCCACGCGATGCCCGACTCTTTGACCTGAGCGGTGATGCCCAACATCATGGAGACGGTCAGCAAATCGGTCACCTGGATAACGAAACGCTCCTGAGGGGGGAGCCAGAGATAAAGAGTCCAGAGTGAAGGCATGAAGATTAAAGCTGAAAACTACGGAGGGATTTTCACAAACGCGTACTTTGAACTCCAATTCCACATAGGTGGTCTCCTTCCTCTCCTGCATTAAACCAAAGCAGAAGGACTGGAAGTTGATCTCGTGCTTGGTCTGTTTGATGATCTCTCTCAGCAGCGCTCGGGAGGCCCGGAGGTAGTCGTCCTTGTTGGTCAGCAGGTCCTGGAACACCATCGCCAAGAACTACGGACACAACAGAAGAACAACAACGTGGATTTTTAGGAAAACACCAGAATTGAAACACTAATGACTGATTGCAATAGCAAGACTATTTCAAAAGGTTTATGGTTTGACCTTTGGACCCTGATCTGGGCTGTGCTGCAGCACCGTGTGGAGGACTTGCATGTTGTTGGGATTCCTGGCGTTGGACAGCTCATTGAAGATCACCAGCTTCACCATCGTGGCCAGGTTGTCTCTGTTAGCATTGAGCAGCTCCCTGCAGAATCACGGCCAAAGTACCAGTGAGTGGAGGCCGCTGCCTGCAACCAGTTAGGAGTGAGACAGAAGGAGGCTCCACCGACCTGACACACAGCATGTAGTGGTTCAGGAGGACTTTGGGCTTGAGTCGGATCTTGATCAGATTGGAGATCACCTCCATGTCATCTGCTCCCTGGGTGTTGCAGTTCATGCATAGAGACATGAGGAGGTCTTGAGCCGGTCGAGTCAGCTGTGCAGAAAAAAAAAAAAAAGAGTTGATAATCTTCGTCAGATGTTCACAAAAACATCCTATATGGATACATATAATTTACTGTATTTGATTAAGGGTTGTGGAAAGACAGCACGTCAGATGAGCCACTTAGAAATTGTTCCACGACATTTCGGACTCACTTTTGGGTTCTGGAGCCACATCTCCAGCCTCTGCACGGCCATGAGCCGAGCCTCTCTGTAGCCACACGTGGCCGTGAGCAGACGCAGCAGGTTCCGTGACACGTTGTCCATCGGCTGCCTGCGGTTCAACTGATCCCGGAGGACGTCGAGCACGTAGTCCTCCACGCTCTCAGCCAGTTCTTCATACCTACAGAACCCCACGGTCACGACAAGGCATTTGTGATAATATAATACAACAACGTCTGTATGGGTCCGTACCTCGGCATCATCTGCCCTTCGTCCTCGGGGCTGAGTTTCTCCTCAGCTATCAGCAGTTCCGCCTGGCTGTCGTCCTCCTCGGGGGTCGAGGGATGAGGGCTGCTACCTAAACAAAAGCCGCATTCGCGCTCAGCACTTCCTCCCCTTGTTGCTGACACCTCACGGCAAACAAACCGCAGGGTTTTCCTAGAGGAACTGTACCTGCACTGAGATCGCCGGCCGAGCGGCCGGTATCCGCCTGCAGCAGCATGCTCTTTGGGGGGATCTTCGTTCCAAAAGCCGTCTGAATGTTGTCAACAAAGTTCTTACAGTGGGAACTGTCAACCCAGATTCTTTCCCCCAGGGAGTCCTCGATGTACACCTGGAAATACATTTTTACATTAACACACTGCATCAACACTCTTATATAGCTAAAATAGAGCATTTATAAAAGAGGGGATTGTAACCTTTACGAAGATCTCCGGCCAGTTCTCATCCTCCTCGTAGGCTGCCATCAGCAAATTGCAAGCGAGAACAGACACAAGGCTGTTCCCTTTGGCTTTAAAGTTGATCGAGGCATCCCGGCGCAGGAGGCTGCACAAGGCCTTTTGACAAAGGCGAGACAGGTGGAGAGCGACAGAAATCCAGTCAAATTCAAACATCTGTAGGGTTCAAGTTGGGGAGGATTTCTTTGCCAGGCTGACACAATGTCAAAGAGAAATATTACCTCAATAATTCCCTCAGTGGCAAATACGTTGGGTTTGATTTTGGCCAGGAACATGAGACTGAGGTACAGCGTTATGTCCGGCTTGGCTCTATTCATCTTCAGCTGTTTCACCGCTCCACACAGCAGCCCCTCGATGCGATCATCATTTCCCTCAGACTCTGACGCTTCGATCTCATCGAGAAGAACTGCAGGAGACACTACGATAAAACAGGAGGAGGTTTAGTTGTTTGGCCAGGTTTGCATTTTTTTTGAAGCTCGTAAAACAACACAGAGCCATTGATTCACCTTCAATCGGTATCACCGAGGGCTCCTTTATCGACGGCGAAATCGCCCTCTTGTCCACAGCTGCGGCATCGACGAGTCGTCCCAGAACACTGACCGGAGGGGTGGTGGACAGTTTGGGCCGCTTGGCGAGGCCGGACAGACCCGATGAAGAGGGCAGCGCGGAGGACGTCTCTCGCTTGCGGTCAGCTGGTAGGTTTGTGGATGCCGGCTTCAGCAGGACCGCGGGGGCTTTGGCCTCCCCACCCTGGCTCTTTGATCCAAGGGCGATGAAATCTCCCGGGGGAGGGTGACCTGGGAGGAGCAGATGTCACAAGAAGTTGTGATTTCATCCTGCTTTGGTAGCACCATCAAACCCACAGGTAGGAGGACTCCGGGGGGGGACATCGTACCTGATGGTTTTGCAGCATTGGGGCGTCTGAGAGTTGCAGGCTTTGGACGATTCATCTCGACTAATGGACACAAGTCAAAACCAAATTAACAGCAAGTTGAGAAGAAAACGAGGAGATGCACAAGTTAGAAAACGTAGAACACACTTGTTTAACTAATAACTATAGCTGTCATAACTGGCTGCAGCCAGTTAACCGCTAAACCTGAACTCACTAACGTTACTACTACATGGAAAACACAAACACCGTTACAGACCAAAAGGACTGTTTAATTATTGCGTCGGTAACGTACAATACGTTACATATTGAGCAAATGGTTAGCTAGGCTAACGACAACAGACACAGCAAGCGGTAAATGTGTTAGCTGTTAGCCACTTTAGCTAGGTGGTAGGTGTGAACCGCAGCACTGAGGGAACTGAGCACCTCCGACTGACGCGTACATTTAAATCACATTATTCAGCCTCATCTAACGGGTCGTGGTTTTAACCTCAGCGTTGCACTTACAACAAATGCGTTATCCAACCCAGAAGCTACCACGTAGCCAGAGCCATGACGGCTTCTTCTTCTTCTTCTTCTTCTTCCTTCTTCTCTTTCTTCTTCGCTGAATGAACGCTGCTCGCTAACAAAAGGCCAAAGTGGTTGTTGCCGCCACCTCAACACCAGGAGGTGTCATTTGACGTTGTTTGTCAAAAGAAAACCGAAAGCAGTCGACTCGACACAATACCAAGTAGAAGGGGTGCGTCTACTTTGCATCCAAACGCCGTAATCAAAAGTACTTGCTGTGTATGTTTTTAGCATTGTATCTCGAGTTGTAATGGCGCTTAAAACCTTTACTTTGAAATTGTTTACCGGAAACACGACTCGCGTATATGCAGCTTGATGTCTGCCGCTGCAGCCGCTCACTATGGCCACAAGAGGGAAGCAAATGCCGGCATTAAATTAAGGCATCCGCCTCAGCGGCATTAAGCCTCGTCTCACGCGTCAGGCCGACCCAGAAGTGCCGCATAATTCGCTTTGACCAACATTAAACTGTTGATCGTAAACGTTGTAATGCTGCCAAATGGCCACCAGAGAGAAGCGTGCGCTGTAGCTAAGAAGCCCCGATACGAAGCCCCGTGGAACGTCCTCTGGTGGCCACAGCGGGTAACTGCAGTGTTAAGTTAGATAGAATAGTGTTATAAGTTCCGGTCAACACTTTCAGTGTAAAACTAAAAACTAACCTTTAGCGCAAAACCAAAAGCTGAACTGAATATATAGATATTTAGCTATGCAATGTGGCCACTGGGAGGCACTAGCGGCTCATTAATTACTATGAACGAATTAACTAAGCCCCCCCCCCCCCCACCCCCCCTCCCCTTAGTAACGTCCATGTTTAGTTCATTCCTCAAACATTGGCCAGAACTTTTTAACAACTTTTTGTGTAAGCAGCACTGCGATCCAATGGTTTTACGCTTTGAGAGACTTCCAGAGCCAGCAGGGCCCGATCCAGCTGCTGCCACCACTGCAGCAAACCTCCGTGTTCCTTTCCATGCAGCCCCAACTTGCCAGATGGTTACGTAAAGTGTTTTCAAATGAAACACATTTCAGTGACATCAGGGGAATGTTGAGTCGATGTTGGAAATTAAATCTGGTGTTATGAGGGAAGTTTAACAATCTGCAAAAACAAACCCATGTACTTCTAAAATGACGTTGGGTCCAAACTGTGCCAGAGGCAGATGTGTTGTGTCAGGCCTCCTCGGCTTGCTTCTCCTCATCGCAATTAAGGGAGCGAAATGTGGTCCAGGGTTAATGTTTGTGTCCAACGTGAGTACGCAATATAATTATTCAGTCCTTTATGTCACTAATAATACGTATTATGTGGGACAAATCGTCCCCACACAACAGGTCACGCTTCTGAGGTCAGCAGTCTGAGTCACTGAGAGGCAAGTTTAGTGACTCAACGTGACTTCCTGTGAAGAACTCCCACCCTTCTGAGGAAAAGTCCGCCGCACGTGCTCCGCCGTCAGACACAAACGGGTGCATCTCAGGTCACCTGTGCACGCCGCTGCCAGATGGTCGCTAATGGGCCCGGTGTGGCGCCGACGGAGCAGCTGGAGGTGTGACGAGATCCTCCAGAGACAAAGCAGAGACTTTGCTCCAACAATTTGTCGACGTGCAGACAACAAACACCGGCATGAGTCCCGTTTCTATTTTCTCGTTGGTTTCTGTTCTTCATTTAGTGAGGACGGGATATAAAGTAACATTTCATCTAAAACGACGTAATCCTGAATCATCACATCTCGCCTCTGATGGGATTAAACCCAATCGCATCTCAGTACAACTCCGCCTCATCACAGGGAGAGAACACAGAGGCCAAGGAGGCTCGTGGTGTCTCGGCGAGGACGCGGTGCGTTCTCGTTTATGGTCGACAACAAAGCGGAAAACAGACACGAAGCTGCTTGCCGGTCAGACGGGCTCCAGTGAGCCAACGGCTTCCACGTGGGACTCGGCGAGTGTACGGCGAGGCCGCGAGGACACAGCGGCCGAGGGGAGGATCTGTGGCTCAGATGAGTCGTTACTCGCGTGTGTTTTTTTGGTCTGTGAGTCAGCGTTTATTCAATTTCCACCTGTCACATTTGATAACGGGGTTAAAATGTCGTCTCGCATCTTGAGTTGTGTGTTTTCGTCTGCTCGCTCTCGTCTGTCTCCAGAGGACCATCGAGGGAACAATCCTGAGGACAAGAATCATTCTGTGACAACGCTGCTTCTGGCCCGAAGTGGGCAAATAAAAAGTCTGAAGTACCAGAAGTTCTTCTTCATGCGTATCGACGTCTTTCTGTGTGTATTTCTGTAAATGTTCACTTCTTAAAGAGGTTCACTGACAGCATCAAGTATTTCATGATTATTATTATTGATAAACTATTTCATATGATTTGCTTTTCTGCCTCACAGAGACTCAAACATTTTGCCAAGTGGGTTTCTGCCGATTCCCAGAAAACTCAAACGATATTCAAAAGTAGTTTTATTCATTAAATCATTTAACAGGCGGATTGAGGTATTTAACGGGACGACCTTCGTCTGAGACGCGTGTGTGTCTCTCGTGGAGTGAAAGTGTCCTCCGTCTCTTCCCAACTCCCGTCTCCAACTGTCTCCAACTGTCTCCTACTGTCTCCAACTGTCTCTTACTGTCTCTAACTGTCTCCAACTGTCTCCTACTGTCTCCAACTGTCTCTTACTGTCTCTAACTGTCTCTTACTATCTCTGTTTCTTACTGTCTCTGTCACTTACTGTCTCTGTCTCTAACTGTCTCCAACTGTCTCCAACTGTCTCTTACTGTCTCTAACTGTCTCCAACTGTCTCCAACTGTCTCATACTGTCTCCAACTGTCTCTTACTGTCTCTAACTGTCTCCAACTGTCTCCACTCTTAGTCAACTGTCTCTAACTGTCTCCAACTGTCTCTTACGGTCTCTAACTGTCTCTAACTATCTCTAACTGTTTCTTACTGTCTCTGTCACTTACTGTCTCTGTCTCTAACTGTCTCCAACTGTCTCTTACTGTCTCCAACTGTCTCTAACTGTCTCCAACTGTCTCTTACTGTCTCCAATTGTCTCCAACTGTCTCTTACTGTCTCTTACTGTCTCCAATTGTCTCCAACTGTCTCTTACTGTCTCTAACTGTCTCCAACTGTCTCTTACTGTCTCTTACTGTCTCTAACTGTCTCTTACTATCTCTAACTGTTTCTTAC